TTATTTTATCAATATAACTTACTTGCTATCTACTTGAATCACTGCCTGATGCAACTGTATAAATACTTTTGGCAAACCGTCTGAGTTAAAACTTGTAAACCGTTAAAAGAATTACTGCTCAATTAAAAAGAGTCAACCCTCTGACACCACGTCTAACAGTTACAATCTAAAAAGTTTGCACATTAACAGTATATACATAATATACATATACTTAAAAAATAAAAAAATGTTGGATATTCTGAATTTTTCTAAGAACGCTAAGGACGCTAGGGATACCTATCTAGAAATCTTCTCAGAATTCTAAAAACATTAAAAAGCTTACTTTTAATGTCTCCAGAAGTGTCTCCCGCATTTTTTCTAAGGACAACTTTCTAAGGCTGGCTTTCTATTGTATTAGATATTTTTATTTCATTGAGAGCCTATTTTAATGCTTCTGGGGTCTGCCCGTTCTGAAGCATCTTATCTAACTTTTTCTGCTGATAATATGCCTTTGAATGACACTTCTGGACATGCCAATTACAAAATCCATATTTTGATACTATCAGTCTTACACACCCATCTTATTTGCATAGAGGTCGCTGGCGTCTTTTTTAGTGAATATTATACCCTTCTGGTTGCGTACTTCCATTCTCACAAACTATCTCTTCATCAGAGTGATACTGGCAAATGTATCCACCTTTCTTTCTGATATAATCTTCAGTGAAAATAAATATGTCATCAGAATCGTCCATCTTTAGTATTATTCTTAGTTAATCTTTGATATCTATAATAATATTTATTTTTATTTTGAACTTTTTTCCTAAGATATTATACCGAAGGGTATACCTAGTTATCATATTCTGAAAAAAATACCATGACCTATTCTGAGCTTTTAGAGTTCCTCAACACGCCCGTCTCATACAAACAAGGTTTTAAAGCTAAAGATGTGGGTAAATGCTTATATAAAATTCGTGATGATAGTGTTAGGCTGAGTCAATTTCTCAGAGCTGATAATGAGAATGATATCGAAGCTATTCTTTTGGACTATGAGGGCTATTCATTACACAAATTTATTGATGAGAATAAGCCACTCCATCCCATTATAGATTTTAATTTACCAATAGAAATGCTAAATGCTATCATTCCTAAAGTTATACGCAAAGAGACCTATGCATTTATTTAGAATGCCTTTAGAGATGTTTGTTTAGAAATAAATCTGAAGTGGGATAAAAAAGTATAACCGTCACCAGTAGTAGTAATAAAATAAAATCTCTCTTCATATCTCTACTACTGAAATGAGGCTTACAAACGTTATTCAGGTTGCAGTATTTACTGAACTCGTTCGCAAGAAATTCCTAGCAGGATTACAGAAGAAAACTATTATTGATAATATTGCAAATAAAGGTCTTTCTTCTTGTGGATGCTTGGATCGCCTAAGTATAAGGAAGAAACGAAAGAGCATATTTGTGTAAAAAAAGCTATTCATCTAAAAGATAGGACTATCTTCAATTTCATGATTCATCCACCTAATGATGAATCAGAAGTCGTTAAAAGTTCTCTTTTAGATATTCCAGAACTAAAAATCAAAATATGTGATGAAACAAATAATGAAACTGATCAGGCTGAGTTTGAATTAGTAGAAGAATTGCTCAGGAAGGCCAGTATTGAGGGATTTAACCTTTCATATCTATCAGAATCATCTCCTAATGTCTTTTCTCTCAAACATATGAGCCAATTATATTGTTCATTATGTGACCGGAAACATATAAATGAAAATAGATATATTATTTGATATAAAAAGTTTTATAGTTTTCACTGCTATAGTGCTGACTAGGAAAAGCCACTGGGTAAAAGAAAGCCTTCAATAAAGCTTACTCTTAGTGAGACAGCTTTGAGCTAAGAAAAGAACCTTTTAGCTCCAGTAAAATTAGAACAATCCAGAATTTCAAACCCAAATGATCGTTTCGTATGATGAAATTTAATATGTATGTACACTTCAGGTAAGAAATATTCCTGTGCTGAAGTTTATGAAGCAATCCAATCAACTGTTGCCTATATTTAATTGGATAAACCAGTCTGAATATTAAAACATAGGAATCCAGAAAATAGGCTTTACTTTAGTATAGAAGCCGAACTAAAACTTGCTGATTTTAAAATTAATATAATCGAGTATGGGGAGGAATCAATAAAATTAAAATTGTTGATAAATTAGACAGTAATTAAAGGTCTAATAGTTTACGCAGATTATAATTTCCTCCCATATCCTATAAGTATTCCTTAATCAAACACAGATTTCTTTAACCTTTTCCTAGAATTTTTGGCTAAACCAGCGATGGAAATTAACAAAGAAATTATGGATGCCATTCTCTAGCATATGAAGAATATAATCAGTACTGAAAATGTAAAGCTTCACAAATATCTTTGGAAGTGATGGGCATTCTTAGTGCAGAAGTCAGCAGAGAAGTCTCAAACGATCTTAGTGTTAAAATCTACATTACAACAGTGCAGAAAAAATATTATTACAGATTTTATTAGTGACAAAGTTTTAGGAGAGCATCTCCATTTTGCTACATCAGATTTGAAAAAAATTCTTGGACGTTTTAATAATACCATTCAAACTCAAAAGCTTATTATTATGAATAAAACTGGAATGTCTAGTGGGGAATGGCATAAATTTAATGGACATCTTAAATCCCTCATAACAGAAGAGAGGTAGCTATAGAACGAAAAGGTTTTGAAACTAAGCGATTAAAAGATTTTACCAGATATATAGTTACAAGTAATCAGGACGCCCCAATTAAAATAAACATAAAAGATTCTCGTGTAGTATATTTTGATGTCTCACCACGCTGTAGAGGAAATACAAAGTATTTCAAAAGACTAGAAAATATACTTAACCATCCTGATGCATCTGGCGTAGTTATGAAATATTTTCTTAATCTTGATATCTCAGATTTTGATCCACAAGAAATTCCTGCAACTAAAATGAAATCAGATATAATGTGAAACTAACTACCTAATTCCATTCGATTTATAATCAATTATATTTTCCCATAGTATGAGAGTAAAGTATCTAAGCCAAGCTGTACATCATTGTATCAGAATTATATTGAATGGTGTAGGGAGAATGGGAAAAAACTATTTAATAGTGCTATTTTAGGAAAGAAGTTTTCACAAATCATCATCGATCGAGAGAGTGAACAAAATTTTTTTTTTGTGCTATTTTTTAGTGATTTTTTTAATGGTATTTTTTTGTGATATATTTTTTAGTGATATATTTTTAGTAGTATATTTATTTTAGTTTAGTGATATAATTTATTTAAGTTTAATTTAAATTTAAAAATGTAAACAATAATATGCTATTTTACTATTTTAAAGTTTATGTATTAATAGGAACTAAGAATATTGATCGACTCAGTTTATGAGCAGGAGGAAAATGGACATCTTGAGTCAAACAGCGTAGAATTATATAATCCTCCACTTTGCTTCAGACTAATTAGATGAGAAAGTATTTCTTAAGTTCATTGCTTAAAACGTTTCTGTGTAAGATCTGCAAACCCACCATGAATTAATCACTCTGAATCCTTACAGATCCAGGAAGATGTCACGTGGCAATTGCAGTAAACAAGTATGGGAAGACATTTCTCTCTGCCAAGCTATCAAACCTTTTACGAAATAATCACTCTGAATCTTCACATATCTAGGAAGATGTTGCGTGGCAATTGCAGAAAAACAGATAGAGGTGTAATGTTGCCTAAGCAAATTATTTCCAGAAAGTAGATATTTATATGTAATGCGAATTTTCATTTGTTAATTACGCAAATATCACGTGATGATCAGGATTTCATGATTTAAGTGCGATAAACGCAGTATAAACTAACGTGGTAATAATATTTTTTGCTCTTCAAATATGCCAGATTCAGAAATAGATCCTAGCTTTAGAAAGTACTGATTTAAAATCAAGAAAGACAGCTTCTTCACAAACACAGATGCTCAGTAATGATCATTTTATCACTACTACACTTCTATCTTTTATTCTAGAGACTCTCTGAAAACATTCAATGAAATTTTTGATAAGTAAACCGCAGGTCTGACCTTCATACGAAAATATGATTCTACCCTGAAACTAATCGAGAATTTTATTAAAAAATTAATCGATTACAATAAGTCTGAGGAATTTAAAAGTATTCGGAAGGCTTGCGAATAGAATTTCCACGCTCATGTTCTTTCAACTCTTTTAACAAGATAGCACAAGGTTACAAAAAACAAGATAATGAAATCTTGAGCAGTGCATTAGAGAAAAATGATGAGGAAGTTCCTTGTACCAATAGTTTTACAGGCGAAGATGAGGTAAGCTCTTCAAAAATGTTGTTTCGCTTGTTTCGCTTTAGGACTTTTCAGTTTCTAATCATTTCAACCAATACTCATTTTGTTCTACAATATGCAAACGCAATGCGATTATTGATGACATTGACACTATGACATCTGAATTCTCAGAAAATGATCTCAAGGTTAGTAAATGACATATTTTAACGTTGTTTATGTTATGTTATTACCTATCTATTAGTTTATGTTCTGACACTTGATGCTAAATGTTTTTTTTTATTCCTTTTCTTTCTGCATTAACAGGAATTCAGATATGTCTTTCATGATTCTCCCTTTCTGAATATAGACTCTTTTTAGGTTTATACGACTATATCTAGACCCAAATCAAATGAAGACATGAATGGGAAAATTTCATACCAACCTCAAGATGAAAGGAGTGTTACATCTAGTAATATATTATAAATAAATAGTTTGTGTTACACTTTCGCAATGTTGCTAACACAATTGCTTGAATTAACTCAGATTCAAATGATAATTTTCAAAAAGTGGCGAAGTCAATAATCAGAAAAGTGGAAAGAATAGCACTAATAATAGATGATATCAACTTTCGAAAATTATTGTAATAAATGTGACAATATTTTTGAGTGAGTAGAGTCGCATCTGTGATTTATACAAACTTAAAACTTATTATCACCTTTTTTAGCTTGTGTCATAGTGACATAATGGATTTTCATCTTGCTTCAAAATTCACGGAAAAAATTTCCAAAGCAATCTGAGAGAAATTCGTGACAAACACATATCTGGAATATAAAATATCTGAAACATGGGAAAATTTAATACAGGATACCTTTAAGGTATGTTGCAAAATCTGGAAAAGATGAGTTATTTTTGAGCTAATTTTTATTATTCATTGATATCTAAGTAGCAAAGAGAGTCGTTGATAGAATGGATTGAGGCCTGACGTGAACTTTATGCAATTTCTGACAAAAACAAAAGCAGAGATCCAGTGATACTAACGATAAAGGATGCAATTTATAATATTCTTGCCCCATAGTATGTTTAAATTTTATGATCCTTTATACTTTCAGTCTATTGTGTTAATATTTCTATTTTTTTTTTAGTATTGAAGCTTTCAAAGCACCATACAATATATTAAAATCAGGCGAACTTGAAGAAAATCAGTATAACTCACAATTTATGAATCTAATACTGAATAATACGCCCAAAGCTATCCTTAATATCAACTGAAAAATGTAAGTGAATTCAATCATCCTTTCTGAGAATATTCATCGGTAGTGATTAATTAACATTTTGACATTACGCTGTTATATATAGCCTTGAAGTTTCTATTAAAAGTAGCAAGCACTGACGTAATGCTAACATAAATCCAATCATTGACACGATCTTAAAAGCAAAACATGCAGATGGTCTTGCCTGTCTCTGGCAAAGTCATGAGGAAGTGTTCATATATGAACAGACAGGCCCGCCAGATTTCGATGATGTTACTTAACTTTTCATCCATGATTACAAGTTAGTTCAGATCATGAGGGATGTACTCAATCAGAGAATTATTCTTCGTCTTAGAGATGGAATATCGAATCATAAAGATCTAGCAAACTTTGATGCATTTGGCCATTATACTGAGGTATCTTTATTTTGGTACACAATACATCAAAAATCATATTACCAGATGCTGATCCAGCTTCTGCTCAATTTTGACGAGCTCAGATAAGCTTGTCTAGACTTTACCATCAGAAAAAATAATATTTTTTTTCGCACGTGCATTTTATTTATAATCATTTTCCTGAATTTCCATTATGCTTATCTGGCTAAAGAAAAAATCTGAAATCTGAATGGCCGATCATTTCATGATTTATAGAAACTCGCCAGCTTCTGGAACTCTCTTAGAACTATCAAAGAACTGGCAGGGATCTAGGGTTATACATGTGATATAATATACGTCATGAACAAACTGCATGTAAATATAAAATTAGCTTAGCCCACTATATAAATCCTGTAATCAAATAAAAATGAATCTGATATTTTATTATAATATAGTTGCTACAATCTGTTATAAATCACTATAAATTGATAAAAAACAGTGAAATTGCTATAAATCTCTTAACCAGTAAATCTGTATAAATTTGAATGGTGATATTATCTAGTATAAGTTGATAAAGAATCAATATAACATACTGAAATTGCTAAAAACGCTATAAATTAGCTATAATTGCTATAATCTGTTATAAACTATTAAAATACTAATATGGATTTAGATAGTAAAGCCTAATATAAGCTAGTTTCTGTAGGCTATAGTGATAAAAACTTCGAAGAATATAGAAGAATATTAGAAGCATTATGTCTTTTAGGTGAACTATATGATTATGAAATGCTAGAAATATGATGCTCTCATATCCGTGATCTATTTAAAAAAATACTTGAAGAGAACCCAAGAATCTTTTCTAAAAATAGATTTATTACAATGTATGGAAAGTTATATGAAAGTGATAGTAGAGTCTACTGTCATCCATCAAATTATATATATTGTAGTATATGCGACTCCCTGGTATTTATACCTGAAGAGTATACAAGACATTCTTATCGCAATTAAGATAATCACTTGAAGAGATGTATTTCTAGAAATACTATTTTGAATAAATATGCAAGAAGAAAAGAAATTCTTCAATCAATTGATATAAGGGAATTTCAAATCTGATAATACAAACAATACATATTAAAAGAAGAGGTAAAAATGAAGCGTCTCCAACTGGAACTTTTATCTCAATCTATTCTACACTTAGAAAAGGATAAGTTAGCATCAGTATTATGATCATGATGCACATTTAACAAACTATAAAATATATGCACAATCTAAAGCAACTATGGCAAGTGCTCCAAATTTCGAGCCAGCTTGTATTTCATCTGCCAGGCAAGAAATGGTTTTGCCAATTTCTCATCATGTGTTTAACCAAAAATCTGAAGCACTAAATGAGCCAATTCCTTCTCCATTGTCACGAAAGCCTGTTGCATTAATGCAACGTAGTGCAAATGCACATGAGGTTAGAAATCTTTAAAACAATCGATCAAATATACCTAATATTTCTAGCAGGACTACTTTGGGCAACCTTACTGAAGCATATTTCGATTCTGTGTGAATGTAGGAAGAAAATAGACTTAATATCTTTCAACCGAATATTAGCATTATATATCTTAATTATATTTAGCCAAACATAGCTTATACTTTATTTTTTTGCGAAATGATAGCTATATAATCTGCATGCATGATCACCTAGTAAAATTGGTCAAAAGCGCTATGCATGAAATGTATTACCTGTCAAATTTTTTTCCTGAATCAGTTCTTGACCTAGATTTTGAATATTGTTTTAATAAAATAATGTATATAGGTGTATGCAACATAAATTAGCACATTTTTTGATCCTCGTTAATGTATATAATATAATAGGTGATACTTCACAAATTATCTGTAAAACTATGCTTGTGTGACAAAATAATTTCACACATAAACTGATCACCCAAAATATTTTAAATTTTTTTCTTACAATATTTAGCAGAATAAGATTTAGCGAAATAGCATTTATTATCTGAAACGTTAGCAAAGATATTATATTCTATTGTTATGCGTTAGTCAACTTAATGATCAACCCTATAAATTTCCTTCCTTCCATCCACTTACGTCATATCGTATCTGCCCTTGCTATTTCCTTTTGAAATGAAAAACAAATAAACAAAATTAATAAACAATAACACAAAGTCACTGATAATCATTAATGATAATCATTTTTGATAATTTTTTTTTAATTAGATAATTTTTTTAGATAATTTTTTTTATTTGTTTTCACAGCAAAAATTTAAACTTTTATCATTTTTCTTAATCTAGTTTCTTCTGCTATTCGCTCTTTTAACCTTTTACAATTTCTTATACGTTTAAGTCTGTTAAAGCTAAAGTGCTTGAAAAGAATATCATCAATAGAATGAACACAGGAAATTGATACAAACAACAAGTCTGCCACAAACTTCTTCTTCTCAAGGTCTATAACTGCTTTTGGTAAGGTCAGTCTTTATGATTTGTGTGCTATAATAGTCTATGCGAGAGAAAGCGGAACCTGTAAGCGAGAGCAAATACTAGTACTACTTTTTCACATGTGTCTTATAGGAATAATAGGTATAACCTTAATCTCTTCTATATTCGTAAGAGTTAGCCCATTATACTTGTCAAACGAAACTAAAATAACTGCAGGTAAGAAGATGTACTCAGGTTTTTCTTTAAATAATATATCTGTTATTGTACCCATTGCATCATTAATAAGACCGGCTGAGACCTATATATTTGCAGTAAGCATAACATGTGCATTTCTGAATAATAGTTCAGCTTCAAGTCCTTTTGCAGTATCAGAATCAGCCCTTAAAACTTCAGATCCACTCGTATAAATCGCATAAATCTTGGCAACAGGTTGGTTTATCGACTGAAGTTTGTTTAAATTTATTCTATCTACTTCTTCCCATATTGTTAGGATATTGATGGCATCTGAAAATTTCCCTCTTTTTGATTTAGGAATGTTTTCTGAAATTCGCGTTATTAATAATTCCCAATCTGATATTATAGATTATCCATCGCATAAGTGATATAATAAATCTCTAAATTGTTTTTGTTGATCTAAGTTACCTTTTTGTCTTTGCACAGCTGATAAATTTCTTGAAATTGGCTATAGGCATCACGACCATCTTCAGATAAATGATCTGACTTGCGAGAGTCCTGAAAATACATAGGAATATCACATATCAGAAGAAGCTGCCCAAAGTCTCCAACAAGAATTATAGACTGACTACTAAAAGGAATATTAGAGTGATTCAGAAATGCTTGATACAGCCGTAAATCAATTATAGCAAGAAAACGATGTTCTACCATGCTCATTTCATCGATTATAAAATATTATATGTATTTTAGTTTATTTTGAAACTTCTTTAAAGATTCACCTTTAAGCTCAACGTTTACTCCACATATTGGAATGGAAAGTGCTGAGCGTATAGTTCTGCCTTCAATATTAAAAGCTGCAACTCCTGTTAGAACAAGTACCGTATTATTCTCATGTAAGTTATGTTCCTTCACGATTTCGTCTAACTTTTCTCGAATAGTATTAATAAGATAAGATTTTCTGGTTTCCGCAGTGCTCATAATGATAATTCGTAAGAGTTCTATGAATTGATTTGTTAATCTGCTAATACAATGTAATTCTACTCTTTCAAGTATTATCCTTTGTTTTTCATTTAGGTTTCTACGGTCGATATTAGCTAAATTGTTACCGCCTTGAACTGCTTCACTGTTGCTGATTGCCTGTTGTATAAAATTTTTCGCCTCTTCAATTTCAGGATATCATGACAAACTTTTATTAATCCAGTTATGATTCCTATCAATGTCACAGGTACTAAAGAAATCTGAGTTACATGCCTGTCTATTTGGTATCATTTCAGACAATAACATCTAGTTAGACTGATGCTCATACTCTTCTTGTGTAATGTTATCATTTCCATCATCAGACTTGTCATCATCAACTTCTTGAAGATTATCTACAGCAGATCTAATTAAATCATTAGGGTCATCATTGATTTCTGTAAGGTGTTTGTTATATAAATCAATCCAGGAAAGAGTGTGATTCTCTGTAAGGCTAAGAAGGTCTCTATAACGATGAAACTGGCAGAAACTGACAGACCTGTTGAATATGACATATATGCTAAATATGTCAGATCTGCCAAATCT